GTGTGTGTGTGTGTGTGTGTGTGTGTGTGCGTGTGCGTGTGCGTGTGTGTGCGTGCGCGCGTGTGCACCACGCGCATGCTCATTTTTTACTTGGCACATCTTGTTTTACTGCACGATACTGCCACGCACGATGAAGATGAACTATTTCAATCCATTCAGCTCTCGTAGTAGTAAGAACCTGCAAATTAACCTGGATCGTAATTTTCTTGTACAGATGGTTTAGTTAGATTGGTTTATTATTTTTACACTCCATGATATAAGTACTGCTAGTTTGCATGTCCTCCCCGTGCCTGCTTGGGTTTTCTCCGGGTATTCTGATTTCCTCCCACATTCCAAAAAACATGCATGGCAGGCTGATTGAACACTCAAAATTATTCCTAGGTGTGATTGTGAGCATGGATAGTTGTTTGTCTGCGATTGGCTGGCAACCAGTTCAGGGTGTCCCCCGCCTACTGCGCGAAAACAGCTGGGATAGGCTCCAGCGACCCTTGTGAGGATAAGCGCATCAGAAAATGGATGGATATACTACTTTCTTACATTTAGGAACGTTTCACTTTTATTATGATTTCTATTTAAAGTCTAAAACTAGAAAATTAATAAAAATGTATGATATGGATAACTCATGAAGTATATTGTTTCTGCAGCACATAGTGTATGGTGGCATTTAGCCTCAGGTTTCCTGCTTGCCACAGAGCAGTGTTCGGCTTTTATTTAGGTGCATGGGGGGCAAAATGATGAGCTGCATGTGTAATGTGTAATATTTTCTCACTCTCGCCGTAGGTGCATAATGTGTCCTTCTCCTTCGAGCTGATGCAGGATGGAGGACTGGAGCGACCAAAGCCAAGGCCAGAAGGTACGAAACTGTTACGCAATCATCTTCGTGACAAATGCAGGGACATTCTCCACAAAAAACTGAAAACTCCACTTTTATCTGTTTAATAATATAAGAATAAGGTTTCTAAAAACTCATCATTTTGTTTTGTTACGTGAACATCCATCTTAAAACAACTCAGTGTTACCTGGTTGGCTCGAATTTATTGCAATTCAAGTGGTAGGTGAATCGAGACATTATTGGACATTTTTGTGGCGCACATGACCTTAGCAAAAAAACAAAAACAGAAAACTACAAGATACCCCAATGTTTTATTGTGAATATTGCTCTGTCACGATGGCTGTATCACTGCTTTTCTTTTTCCCTTTTCAGACATCGTGAACTGTGACCTTAAGTCAACCCTACGGGTCCTCTACAATCTCTTCACCAGGTACAGGAATGTTGACTGAGGACCCAAGCAACAAAAAGGAGACTTTCTATTCTCAATGGACCTCATGCTATAATCTTATGAATCCATCAATTTCTTGTTGAAATGTGCTTTTTATTTGAATTCATACGTACCGTTTTACAAATGACCACACTTGTTAATCCATGCAGCATCACTTTGAAGGGACACCTTTCGACACATTTGGGAAAAAAAAAACACATTTCACATTTTTATTGAAACATCATCATTGTATTTATTGTAAATGTAATACACTTCTTCTGTCATATATTTCTCGCTTTTTCTGCTCCTCTTGATATGCCTTTGATTAAACTTTTATTACTTGATAACGGGCTGACTACTTCATGTCTTAAGAAAATAAACTAAAATGGTTCTTCCGCAGCCAATGTTAGTTAGCTATTATATAACACAAGCGTTATTGTCGTAGAGTTAGGACCTGATTTACTAAAGGTTTACCCATGCAAAAATGGTCTATCCACACAGATGTGGAAACTGATCTGCAAACAAGGCGCAACCAGGACTCCGTCAGTCAAATCTGCTAAATTGCAGCCCAGTTCATTTTATGCGTTGTCCTGTGCTCTGCTCCACCAACACTGCATCCTGGGTGCACCGGGGTTTGTGGATCAGCTTTCACGTATGTCACGATACCTTTCTGCTCATGCAGTCCTAAATTGAAACAAAATAGTGGGTATTGTGCTTCAACTATGTAACCCAACACCGGTTGTGAACTCCATTGCATCTTTGTGGAAAAAGTGGCTTAGGAGCTGTTGAGCTCAACCATGCAAAATTGCTCGTCACACAGAATGGATTATGGGTGTTCCCACGATGTAGTCCGCCTTCCGCCCAAAGTCAACTGGGATAGGCTGGTGTATATACAGTATGTTTTAATCTGTCATTTTAATAAATAGCCCAATATCTCAATCACGCTGGATTAGTTTTTCCTAAAAAGGAAGCAAACAATTGTCTCAGCAGCAAAAAAAATCAGGATAGAATGGTTATTTTTGCCTGCGGAGATAATAAGCAAAGCTCAAGGGTGAACAATCAAGTTTGTCAAACCGTTCAATGATAAAAAGTATCCCAAAATTATACGATGCTTGCCACACAGTTCTAAGGTTTTGGGTTTGACTCGCCGGCTTCCTCCGACATTCCCAAAACAAGTATCTTAGCTTAATTGGAGACTCTAAATTGCCCGCAGGCGTGAATGCTCATTTTTGTCCATACTGTATGTGCTTTGAGATTGCTTGGCGACCAGTCCAGTGTGTACCCAGCCTCTCACCCAAAAGTCATCTGGTCTTGGCTCTAACTCATCTTTGACACTAATTCGAACCAGCGGCGTAGAAAATGGTGGGATGGCATGTGGACAGTGTGCAAGTCGTATTTGTGTGCCTGCAGCAGAGAAGCATTTTGCTCGAGTAATCGTATCTGGAGCTTAATGTCTTCTCAGATGCAACCGATCCTGAGGGATCCGAAAACCATGTTACCATCATTTCCTCTGCGCTCCTTCGCCCGGGGAACAATTCCACCGTGCTAGTTAGGACCTTGTTATATTAATACGATTACATGATTGTAACATCGGTGCTCTTTGTGGGAGTCACGTGGAGACTGAACTGCATATCTCTGACTGAGAGGACACAGTTATGCCGCAATGGATGATTGTCTTGCTCTTCAATGACAGGAAATTGCTTACTCTATCTGTTGCCGGACCCAGAGTAACACAAAATTTACTTCTGTGTCATTTTAAAACAGAGACACATTGATTTGCTTTCGTGTCACTTTCACCTGGCTCAGCTACTCATCGGGGTGTCGTGCTCTTGGTGTTTTAGCTTTATCCTGATAATAGTTATGAATACAGTAATTGCTGATTTCATTGTCGTTTTTCATCCAACAGAAATGTTTAATCCGACCTGGGTCGGATTGGGGATAAAAAGTGACCAGGGATTTATCAACAGAGCGGCTCATGACATTAACAGTTTGGGAAATTAAGTATTTTTTTTCACAAATCGATACTATTGGGGAGTCCAGACATGTGGGTGTTATTTTTACAAACTTGACCATTCTAAAGTGTTAAAAATCAGCTCGCTCTCTTTGATGATGTAATGTTAATAGGTTGCCTGAAAAGTGCTGAATTTGGAGGTATGAGGATTCCGACTGATGCCAGCTACATATATAAAAACACGAAAAAGCCACTGGAGAAATCTTACTTGAAATGATGGCAAAACAACTCAAGTCAAATTTATTTATATCGCTCTTAATCACCGAAAAGTTTCAAAGGGCTTCACATGACCATGCATTTGACGAATATTAAAGACAAATGATAACAAACAAGAATTGTGGTTTAAAATAATGCCTACCTGATCAACATAACTCCTAAATGTTATATGTGTGGAATGCAAATAACCAAGTGTAAACAAACAATAAGATCGGACCACCAGACTGCCTGCGGCCCACTCGGGAAAATGTCACCTTCCCTGTAGGCCAGCCCGCCTATTGCTGAATCCATCATTTCTCATCTAATTGCAATCTTCGATAGTCATGCCACAGTAACCACGCGATTTGATGTACAAAGTAAAACTTCACATACAGTATCCATCTTCATCACACTGTGAGGGGTTTAGGAAGTTCATTTCTACAATGATATATATAACGGAATCAATTGTCTCTCGAAAGAAAAACGGCTGAATGAAAGAACTGTAGCTCAGTGATCGGTGCCACCACCATTGTTTTTCATTAAGTAAAAACTAACAATGGCCTCAGTATTTCACAGCTTCACTGCCGTCAAATTTCCTAAATTTCGCTTACGGATTTAACACGTGTCAAAACAGAATAATAACTTGGGATTTTGGGACTTTTTCAATGTTCGTTATTTCATTAAACACTCTTAATAAGGTCCCAAAAATTTGTTCTTTCACCTCAACATTAATTTTTATGTAATCGCTAATTAGAGTGAATAAAGGCGCGCGTCCCCTACAGTCGGGTGCCAAGTCTTCCCGCCATCTGCTACGGA